CGTCGATCCAGAGGAGTGTCAGCACTTCAAAGTGAAGATCGAAGGGCGAGACGTGGAGGTTTTCGACACTCCAGTGTTTTGCCACACTCAAAGAGAGGACGAGAGGACGATGGAGGAGATCAAAAAATGCGTCTCTCGTGTTGATTCTGGTCTTCACGGGTTTCTGGTCGTCTTTGATCTGGAACCGTTTACACGAGAAGAGAAGGACATGGTGCAGATGCTTCACACCAGCTTCGGCGACAGCGTTAAGGATTACATGATGCCTCTGTTCGTCAACGGAAACGAGCTGAAGAGAAACGGAAAAACCATACGAGGGTTCATCAACGACAACAAGGATCTGGAAGAGTTCGTCCGCGGCTGTGAGGGGGAAACCTGCGTCATCGACCACAGAAACCAGGACTCGACTCAGGTGGGAGACCTCCTGCGGCAGATCAACATCATGGTTCAGGGCAATAAAGCAAAGAAGAGAGGCTGCTACACTGCCAGCATGCTGGAGGATGCTGAGAGTGGCCCCGGGAACAAGAGGAAAATGGCGCTGTCGGCAAACGGCGGTATGCTGGTGGGAGGCGCCATCGGAGGAGGTGCGTCGCACTCCGTCGGCAGCATGATCGGAATCCCAGGAGGAATTTTTGTCGGCGCTTTGGTTGGAGGATTGATGGGAACTGCAGGGATCTTGATGTACGTCAGGGCGAAGAGATGCTTCAAACGCTGAAGGTTCAACAATCTGACAAGTTGAGCTGCAGGTTCGGCTTCAGAGGAGACACAGGGTCAACAAAGAAACCAAAGGAGACCACAAAGACGTGCAAGATGACGACAAGGACAGACAAAACATCCGCCGACTGACACAAATTGAACACAAAGATGCAAAACGACATCAGAGAGACAAAAAAAAAAAAAAAAGGCGACTACAAACCACGAAGAGATTTAAAAACAGCCACAGAGACACAAAACAGAAACAAAGACACACAAAGAGACACAAACTGACGCAAAATGACCACAAAAAAAAATAAAAATGATCACGTTGTTTAGATTATTTAGCATCATTCTGTCTGGGAATTTTGGGTTTACGGGGTTTTTAATGCTTCCTTTACTGTCAGCAGCACTGACACTGGTGTGACTTCAGGAGGTTGTAATCACACTGGTTTTCATTGGTTAGGAATGTCATAAGAATAAGATGTTTTTCACTGATTAGTAAAACACTGATTAGCATAGAGCTGAGACAAGAGAATATTACCAACAATGAAGAGGAACTGGAGCTCCATGTGACTCGCTGCAGATGGACTTCAGTTTTCAGAAAAATGAAATAAAATTCCTTAAAAATTCATACGACCGCCTGTTTATTTTTCACATTTAACTTTAATTTGCACTTCTGTTTGGTTTTGTTGGGAAACCTTTTTTGGATTCTGTTTGATTTCACTTCATCTAATAGATATTTATACAAAAAAACAACCTCAAAGAGACAAAAAATGACCACAAAGTAACACAAAAAGCCAAAAACAAACCCCCCCAAAAGACATAAAATGTGTGTTTGTGTTTCAGCTTGAATTTGAATGTGAGAGTTTTTTCACGTTTTTCATTTGATAAAAACAAATGACTTGATGATGTCCATGTTTTAAATGAATGACATTTTGTGGTTTTCTGACATTAACTGATATTTGTGGACATTTTTTTACAACTTCCTGTCAGAAGAATAAATTCATATTTAAGTAACTCAAGGAAAAAGGGCAGATGATTAAATACCTAAAAGGTTTTCGCTCTGATCTGACTGCCAGGCGGGTAAATCTATGAACCTCGGACTTCATAACTGAACCCATGTCATTACATTAATTTTAGACCAATGTGTCCGGGCAGATACCAGCAGGCCCACTGTGTGATTTGGCTCTGAACTGTGCTGTTAATCAGTTCCAGACCATAATAATCCATCCAGATAAGAAACACAACAGCAGGTCAAAGCATCATAAAACCTGATAAAACCACAGAGGTCAGTGATCGAACAGGATCCACTTCAAACCGTCGGCAACAAACCAGGACAGCTGGTCAGAGATACGCTCAGTTTATGGCCATGTGTCTACACAGACAACCGCATAACACAAGGACCCACAAACCTACCAAAAAGTAACACAAAACACTCACAAAGTGAAACAGCCATAGATAGACAAAATCTACCACAGAGACACAACCAACCACCAAAAAAAACAAAATGGCTGCAAGGATACAAAATAACCATAGAGAGCAAAAACTACTCAAAATAAATGAAAAACAACCGCAAAGACTCACAAACCTACCAAAAAGTAACACAAAACAACAATGGAGAGACAAAAGCAGCCACAGAGAGACAAAAACTACCACAGAGAGACAAAACAACCACTAATAGACAAAAACTACCACAGAGAGACAAAACAACTCCTAACAGATGCAAAACAAACATTAATAGATGTAAAACAACCACTAAGAGACACAAAACAACCACAAGGAGACACAAAACAACCCCTAATAGATGCAAAACAAACATTAATAGATGCAAAACAAACATTAATAGATGCAAAACAACATCAAAGAGACACAAAACAACCACAAAGATGTAACATCACCATAGAGAGCAAAACTACTCAAAATAAATTCAAAACAACCACAGTGAGACGAGCTGGTGCTGAAGCTAGACCTGGACCTGCCCCCCTCTCGGTGTTCCTGGATCAGAGACTCTCTCACCAACAGGCCTCAGGTGGTGAGAACTCCCCACATCCACTCCACTAACCTGGTCGTCACGTTTGCAGACGACCTCATTAAGCACAAAGATGAGACCCACGACAGGGAGGAGATCCAGCACCTGACTCGGTGGTGTTCAGACAACAACCTTGTGCTGAACACCAGCAAGACAAAGGAGGGCATTGTGGATTTCAGGAGGTCCAGGATGACAGAGCACACTCTGCTCCTCACAGAATAGAAAGGAAATACTTTATTAAGCCCCAAAGGGACGTCTGGTTGTTACAGCACAAAGATAAAGTTATAGATAAATAAGCAAAAAATAAACAATAAGCAAATGTAAAATGTACAATAAGTGTAATATGTCAAGTAGAACAGTCCTGTGTGGAGTCAGTGGAGTGCAAATAGTCATGTGCAGAACATCAAACATCCAGGAGGAGGCAGTGGAGCGTGTGGACAACATCAAGTTCCTGGGCCTACACACCACATCTGACCTGAACTGGTCCCAGAACACACCCTCCCTAAAGGGTTGGACTCTCCTCCAAACTGCTCATAAACCTTCACAGAGCCACAATAGAAAGCATCTTTTGCTTTGGTGCTACAGTGTGGTACGGGAGCTGTACAGCACAGGACAGGAAGGACTTGGCCCGGCTGGTCAGAATTATCTATACACAGCTTAATCCTCACTAGGGTCGTGGGGGTCTGGAGTCTATCCCAGATGACTCAGGGTGAAGACAGGGGACACCCTGGACAGGTCACCAGTCTATCACAGGGCTACACTTAGAGACAGACAACCAAGCACACTCACATTCACACCTACGGACAATTTAGAATCACCAATTAACCTCAACATCTTTTTGGACCGTGTGGGAGGAAGCTGGAGAACCTGGAGAGAACCCACGCTGCACGGGGAGAACACGCAAACTCCACGCAGAAAGATCCTGGGCCTCCTAACTGGGCCTCCTAACTGGGGACCTTCTGGCTGCGAGGTGACGGTGGTAACCACCGTGCTACCCTGTGGTCAGAACAGCCCAGGGAATTGTGGGATATCTCCTACCTGATCTGGACTTGGTAGGCGCATCGCCACAGATCCCACCCACTCGGCCAACAGACTGTTTGTACCGCCCCCCTCAGGAAGGAGGTTCAGAGCTACTAGAGCTAGAACACTAAGACTCACAGACAGTCCCTACCCCAGAGCTGTGAAACCACCTCCCCCTGCACATGAGCTGCTACCGCACAGCCGGGACGCCGCACCGTTACACTTTCTTCTAAGACTGTTGACAATGTTTATATTTATATATTTTATACTTTCTTATTTGTGTTTATACTTCGAAGTCTATTTGTGCCACTTTTCTTCTTTTTGCTGCAAGCCCAGACTTCCAGCTGCCATTTCGTTGTGTGTACGCAGCGTGATGACAATAAAAAGGATTCTGGTTCTGGTGAGACTCGAAACTCTCCTCAGTTAGTGGAGACAAATACATTTCAGGTTCGGCAGCATTGATGGAAACACAGTGAAGCTCCTGTTCATGGAGTCACATTCATCCATTCATTCAGGCAGTCAGAGGCGACTTGATCTGACCACAGTGTGATTTATAAAGAGCAGCAGAGTTGAAACATGAAGATGCTGCCTCCTGCTGGTCACTGCAGGAAACACACCTGACACAGGTTGAACCAACCGCAGCTTTTTGTTCACGGTTAACTGTTTTATTCTTCAGGAACCAAAGTTCTGGGAAATATTTCAGCTGAGTTTTGTTTGTTTACAGACCTGGAATTTTTGGGGGGATTTTCACCCTCAAATAAATAACTGTGCAAGGTTCAGTATCTCCAGCAATAAAACTCCCACTGACATGAAATATGGTGAGGAAACACACAGAATAGTTTCCAGGATGATTGAATGGATCCAACAGAGGACACATTTTTAATTACTGGATCTTGAAAATAGAAAAAAAGTGCAGAACTTGAAGTGTATATATGTATTTCTTCCTAAAAAATACAGACTTTGGTCGACATTTCACCAACGTTTGACGAGACAAGGTTCCAGTTTTTTGAACATTTTTGATTAATTTTGTACAAATCTTTAATGTTTTGGTTCATGTTTAAAGTTAGAGTTTTGTCTTTTCCAGTTTTTGAAGTTCTGACATGTCATTTTGGAGAAATTTTGGATCATTTGGACAAATTTTGAGCAAATTTGGAGCCATTTTTAATGTGGCAACTACGGCAAGTCAAGGATCCAGATTTTGCCGTTTTGAGAAAGTGGCGATGTGACTCACTAGTAGGAGCACAAAGACTGCTGTTTATTGGGGTTTCTAGTTTTTATTTATTTGCAGAAACAAAAAAAAAATGAAGAAATGTCCATCATATGGCAAAAGTTCAAATTTCTGCAAAGGATGAAGCGTAAAAGCATCAACATCAACTGTTAGCTGAAAAAAACAACTATTTTAAGTCACTTTTCTGACACGTTATCGACAAGGATTGTTGTTAAAAAATAATGTGTAGAGGTTTTGTTGTGGACAGTGAAAACAACTGTAGGTTTCAGCTCTAGTTCCAAACAGAAACGCTGCTGTGGGAGAGTGTTTCCACTTGAAGGAGGAGGGCGTTGGTTTCTGAGATGCTAATTAATGCTAACTGAGATGCTATCTGTGGCCCGACTCTGTCCTCTGAGTGATGATCATCATCTGGATGCTGTGTTTTCCGGGCAGCGTCGATCCGGCCAGCTCACATCCGTCAGCGCCAAACTGCTCGAGCTCAACTTTAACACAGTTCAGTTTATAGCGATGCAGCAGCGACTCGATGGACCAGTCGGCACTGAAACACAGTCAGAGACGTAGAGTTATACGGTATGGCGAACCAAACTCACACCACAGGACAAAGACTCACAAAATGACCAGAGAGAGATGAAAAACAACCATAAAAGACACAAATCAAGAGACAAATCAACTAAGGAGACACAAAACAACCACAAAGAGACATAAAACAACTAAAAAGACACAAAAATGACCAGAAAGGAATGAAAAACAACCACAAAGAGACACAAAATGACCAGAAAGAGACACAAAACAACTAAAAATAGATACAAAATGAAAAACAAAGACACAAATAACAGCCACAAAGACTCAAAATAACCACAACGAGACATAAAAAGGGCCACAAGGAGACAAAAACAACCACAAAGATATAAAACAACAAGAGACTAATCAACTAAAACACACTAAACGACCACAAAGAGACATAAAACAACTAAACGAGACACAAAACGAGCCTTACTTTCATGTGGAAAAATTCTGCTTTAGCAACAAAACTTGTAGTACTCTTATGGAGGAAGCAGCAGCTGTACCTTCGGAGTTGGTACGTGGTCCAGAACTGGGCTTCAGGGTTTTTTCTCAGGAGAAAAACAACAGTCACGATGACGTCTTCGAAATCTGAAACAGATCACAGCAGTTTTTAGATTTTACACAATGTATCGGTTAAAGTTTGAGCATTTTGTAGGTTTTTCTACTGTTTTTGAGGAGAAGGAACGACCTGCAGCGATGAATAGATCAGCTGTTAACTAACCTCCAACAAAAATACACACACTGTGAAAAATCCTATGTAACGTGTAAGTTTGTGGTCATTTTGTGTCTCTTAGTGGTTGTTTTGTGTCTCTTAGTGGTTGTTTTGTGTCTCTTTGTGGTTGTTTTGCGTCTCTTAGTGGTTGTTTTGTGTCTCTTTGTGGTTGTTTTGCGTCTCTT